TGTATGCATGTTTTCAGCTGCATGTTTGCATGTTCATGCCTGTCAGTGTATATGTATATGGGATGGTGTACATGCAAGGGTATACACATGCATGTGGGGACTGGAAGACAACATCATGCATGCATCATTCTTCAGACCCAATCCACCATTTTGAAACAAAGTCTCTCACAAGACTTGGAACTAACCAAGTAGGCTGGCTGGCCAGTTACCCCAAGGATCCATCTGTAGTCTCTGCCTCTCCTTCACTGGGATTACATGCATGTGCCACCATGCCTGACGTTGTTGTCATTGTTGTTGTTTTAAAGCCAGTCCTAGGGATTCAACTCACATCCTTGTGCTTACAAAGCAAAAACGTTAACAAGTGAGCCGTCTCCTCAATCCCAGAAAATGCAGAATTGCATCTTCTCTCAATGGATATGTAATCGACACAGCACCATTTTGCAAAGGGCCATCATTCATCCTCTACTTAGTGGTTTCACTGTCGACAAGAGTGCAGATGTGCAGATGTGTATCTGTCGTTGGCCTGTCCTCCCTCTCGAGCCCATTTGGCATATGCTTATACCAGTCTTAAAACAAATCTTCACACAAAGGAAGCACATCTTTACAAGTCTGTCTTTTTCATACATTCTGTTGGAGTTGGGGCTGCATTCTGATGCATGGTTTAGAGTTCCGTTTCCCTTAGGGAAAAAAAAATCTTCCCAAGAAGGAGTACCATCAAGAACAATTGTTTTTATCTTTTGAAATTATACAGTACTTGAAGTTCAAGACTTTTGAATAAACTTGCTGGCTATGTCCTTAACAAGGCCCCCAAGACAGGGTCACTTCAGTGGAAAGAGCCCAACTCATTCCACTAACACAGTGCTTCTCAGCCTTCCTAGCATGGTGAGCTCTGACCATAAAATTATTTTCATTACTACTTCATAACTGCAATTTTGCTACTGTTATGAGTCGGAATTTAATATCTGATATTTCTGATGGACTTAGGCGACCCCTGTGAAAGGGTCATTTGACCTCCAAGGGGTCTCAACCCACAGGTTGAGAACTGCTGCACTAAGCATTGGGACTTCCAGAGCAGGCACGGGCTTTCTTCAACTGTAGAATCTCTAGCAATCTCTGACCCCTGTCCACGATCTCCCTTCAGCCTTGAGAACAACCAGTGATGAATGTAGCTATTTCTAAACACCACTTATTTTTGGTCTAATTTCCTACGAGATCCAAGGAAATGATTTTATTCTTTTCTCCTTTCTTCCTCCAGTTCGACTACTGGCAGGACATGAGCAGGGAAACTTTATCTGTCCTCGTTTAAGCCAGCACCTGGGCTCCCTGTCTCTCATGTTGCTCTGGTCCCTGTTGGTAAGCTTTAGCACAGCCTTGCCACTTGACATCACAGCTTCTTAGGACCAGATGGTGAGCCCTGTTGGGACCTAGTAAGCAAGCATAAGAGGACATAATGAATTGATAGTCAAGAGGCTACTCCAGAAGACAGCAGAGGAAGCACTTGTAGTACATGTATGGGGGACTATAGTCTACCTGAAGTGACAAGATTAGAACTCATGAATTAGAGAACACTAAAGCAGCAGCAGTTCTTTTTAGTAGATTGTAACCCCCATGGGGGTTACATGTCAGATACCCTGCATATCAGTTGGTACATTACCCATTATAATAGTAGCAAAATTATGGTTATAAAGTAGCAATGAAACAATTTTATGGGGGGGGGGTGTCGCCACGACATGAGGAATCATATTAAAGGGTCGCAACATTAGAAGGTGGAGGGCCAGTGTACTAAAGCCATCTTAGCAAATAACTTACAATAAACATATCATATAAACATAGAATCCATCTTAGCAGATAACGTACAATAAACACCATCAACAATTTAACAAGGTCAAGCGCAACTAATTCTGATGTCTATAGTCCCAACTTTGAACTTGTTACTGCTTCCTTCAAGTTTGTAATTCCTGTCCTCCCAGCTAACACCCACCCTACCCAACACCCACTCCCACCAAAGCCAATGATGGGAATGTTTGCTCTGGGTAATCTGGACATTGGCAAGTACTTTCCTGCAAGTCACAGTGGTGAGGGATGGTGTAAATACTTCAATTACATTACAGGTTGAATGGGCTTTTGTGAAATGACTATTTATAGTCATTTCTTTGGAAAAGCTGTTCTGAGTACTAAATGATCTGCTTTGGGATGAAATTTCAGAGCACAGACCCTTCTTTTGGCCAGGAATACTCAAAAGTAAGCACTCAGGAAGTGTGTCCTGCCAGTCCCTGGATATTCTTTTTGTTCGTTAAAAAGCATGAAGTGTGGACAGGTTGATCAGTAGAGCATGGTGGGGCACACGCCCTTTGTTTTTATGGAAGCTTTTTTTCTCATGAGCAAGAGGATCAAGAACATTTCAAGAGAAGCAAGAATGCACCGGGCATGCTTTCCTGTGTCCTCAGAGCAGTAGGGTCTGTGAAATGAACAATGGGATTAGCCTAACTTGAATTCTAAAAGACAGCTTTCAGAATACACAGAACTCATAACTCGGAGGCTGCTGAGCAACAGCTGGAGAGCCATTCTTAAGGATGGGGAATGCCCAGTGTGTTTTTGCTAGTGTCATTCCAAGTGTGACTGTTGGACCTGTGACATTAGATTCACCTAGAAGGTGGTCAGAATGGAGACCCTCAACTCACCCCCAGAATCTTTATAAGACCCGTTGTTCCAGGCTTCAGCAAGTTTTCCAAGTGACTTTATGTACCTGGGAGGATAGAGACTAGGCTTGTCTTCCTTCTCCAAGCACTGGAGAGTCAGCAGCCATGGTGGCTCCTGAATAGGGTGCCCTGATGGGCTGTGATGGGGTGGTAGGTTGGCTGAACTTAGGGGTGAACGCAGACCAAGCACTCCACAGCAGTGAGAAGGATAAAGCTGGTTGATCTCCAGGCACCTTCTGCTTCTGTCTCACCAATACAATAAAGTTGAGTAATATTTTCAATGAAACCACCTCAGTGGGCCACAGGCTGCATCGTGTCATCTCAAAATGCATGGGTTGAAGTCAGAGCCTCCGGAATCTTCTCTGTGAGATCATGTTCGGAGATAGGGTCATTAAAAGGGTAATTGAGTTAAAATGAGGTCATTACTGTGCACACTAACACAGCATGACGGGGTCCCTGCAAGAAGAGGACAGGAGGACACACACACACACACACACACACACACACACACACACACACACACACACACACGCATAGGCATGGCCTTCCAAAAGGGAAGGCAGCCGTTGCCGGAGGGGCTTGGGAGAAAGCGACGCTGTTGACTTCTAACCACATGAACTATGAAGAAAGCTTCCTGATATTCAAGCACCCCCCTAGTCTGTGACACTTCATTATGGCAGCCACAACAATGAACACAGGTGTGGTGGTATTGTGTTCACTAAATATTATGTACCTTAATAAACTTACCTGGGGTCAGAGAAGAGACAAGCCACTAGTTAGTCAGTGATAGCACACGCCTTTAATCCTAGCATTCCAGAGATAGAAATCCCTCTGGATCTCTGTGAGTTCAAGGCCACATTGGAAATAGCCAAGCATGGTGACACACACCTTTAATCCCAGAAAGCCAGCCTTTAATCCCAGGGAGTGGTGGTAGAAAACAGAAAGATATATAAGGCGTGAGGACCAGAAACTAGAGGCATTTGGCTGGTTAAGCATTCAGGCTTTTGAGCAGTAATTCAGCTGAGACCCATTCCGGATGAGGACTCAGAGGCCTCCAGTCTGAGGAGACAAGACCAGCTGAGGATCCGGCGAGGTGAGATAGCTGTGGCTTGTTCTGTCTCTCTGACCTTCCAGTATTCACCCCAATAACTGGCCTCGGGTTTGATTTTATTATTAAGAACTTTTAAGATTCCTGCTACACACAGGCTCCAATGTGGTGTGGTGATATTGTGTCCCCTAATATATTGTGCACCTTAATAAACTTCTGTCAAAGAACAGAACAGTCAGTAGATATAGAGGCCAGAAAATGGTGGCACACACCTTTAATCGTAGTATTCCAAAGTCAGAGATCCATCCGGATCTCTGTGAGTTCAAAGCCACACTGGAAACAGCCAGGCATGGTGACACATACCTTTAATCCCAGGAAGTGATGGCAGGAAGCAGAAAGGTATATAAGCTGTGAAAACCAGGAACTTAGGGTCGGGTAAGCTTTTAGGCTTTTAGCAGCAGTTCAGCTGAGATCCATTTGGATGAGGATACAGAAGCTTCCAGTTTGAAGAAATGAGATCAGCTGAGAAATTGGTGAGATGAGATTAGCTGTGGCTGGTTCTGTCTCTCTGATCTTTCAGCGTTCACTCCAATACCTGGCACTGAGTTTGTTTTTATTAATAAGACCTTTTAAGATTCCTGCTACAATCCCATCTCAGCCCTCACACACCAGAGCTTCATACTGAGCTTTACCTAGACTCATTGCTACTGCCTACAACTCATCCTTGACTTTTGCAGAGGGGATGTCTAATGAATTCTTCTCTTACGGGTCCTTTGTATGGAGCAGGTAGCCCAGTTCTGACTCCGGTAGGAATATTATTGTGTACTCTGCCATCTCTCTGGGAAGGAGGACTTGACAGCCAGGAGCAGCTTTGACCTATCAGCCTAACACCCTGGAGCCCAGGCTTCATCCATTACCACTAACTATATCTGTGTCTGCCACAATGCCCTCACTCAGTTAAGTTTGTTGCTTTATACATGTAACATGGAGATCATAACAACCTGCATGTTGACAGTCCCCTTACCCACGTTGACAAGATCAAATCAGGTGGCACGTGTGAGAACTAGAGATACGTAGCTGGATCGCTTCCTTTCTGGTACTGTGATCAGACACCGTGAGAAAGGCAATGTATAGAAGGGAGGGTGAATTGGGGCTTGGGGTTCCAGAGGAATAAGTGTCCGTCATGGGAGGGTGGGGGCATGATAGCAAGAGATAGGTGTGGTGGCAGGAGCCGACCACATCTTTAACCACAGGCATGAAGCAAAGAGAGCAAACGGAAGTGAGACAAAGCGACAGACTCAAGGCCAACCTCCAGTGACGCACTTCCTCCTGGGAGGTGGCACCGTGTCCCCAAACAACATTACCGCTGGGAACCAAGTGTCCAAACCCATGAAGCCATGGGAGATGTTTTCAATTAAACCACCACAGTGGGCTTATTATTGTTGTTGTTATTTATGATTACTAATTATTGGCATCGCTAGCAAACCTTCTCTACAGACATAGCTTGGACAAAACAGCAGTGGGGAGCCATTGCGGAACCTCTACTCCATCACTTCACAGAATTTGAGGGCCCCGGATTCAACCTGGCAGCCACACATCTGGAAACTTGTCATTGGGTCATGTAACTATGTATTTTTATGATCTATTTGTCACTCTTTATTTTTTACTCAACTTCAGATTGTATAAGAGTGGTGGGGGTGTGTTCCAGCGGGTGGGCAGGAAGTTAGCTTTTGGAGGAAGACGCCAAATTCGGGTATTTTCAGACTCAAGTAACATCAGGACATTGAGAGCCATCTTGTAGACAGCTGGGCGCAGAGAATGGTATCCGATTTGTGCTGAGTTTAGTTGAACTGAGCAGGAGATATGATGGATGAACACTGGGTGATGATTTAGATGGAGCTGCCAAGCAGTTGAAAGAAAGGCCTTGGGCAGAAGACAGGGAGGAGGATGAAGGCAAATAGAAGGCACTTGTAGGTCTATCAGATAAGAATCAGGCACAGGAGAGAACTAACTACAGGGCGGCACAGGATCAGACCAAGAAAAGGGCCAAGAACACAGACATGATTTTAAAATGTTAACAGCATAATGTTTTAAAAGACATAGCTATAATAAAAGTGTCCAGGACCAAAGGAGAGCTGAAAAGAATGGGATACCTACCAACTCACTGAACACGAACTTTTCATGGGAAACCTGAGGTTGGAGAGAGAGAGACAGAGACAGAGGCAGAGAGACACAGAGATTATATGACCAGACCCAGTTGTCATGTATAACAGGCTCCATCCCTTCTATCTCATTAATTTGAACCACCACACTCTCTCCAACTCTTTATTTAAAAATGCTTATATCTTAGATCAATATGGATACAATTAGATTGAAGATAAAGGCCCCTTCTTTCTGAGTTTTAGGACATCAGAGCAACAACAACAACAACAACAAATCACATCAAGGGCTCCATTCAGCCAGGAAGCACAGCAAAATGAGTGCTAAATGACACCAGACAAAACAAGAGAATGCTCTTGAAAAATCATTGGCGGAATTTATACTCAAAGACTTCTATTTAATTCAAACCACATAACAACTGATGGTGATATCATTAAAATAAATATCCCACATGGCCTATCTCTCTCCCTCCCATGGAACAGCACTGACATCATTCTTGCATGTTATATTAATGGCGTTTTCTGTATTCTGCTGAAAGGTCACAATTCTGTCAGTAATGAGATTCAGCCCCCAGTCAAGCTGTTCCAAGATACCACCGCCTAGTTCCCAAACAATCCAGAGGCTGGCCTCCCTGCAGTATGAATTCCAGAAAGCAGAGGGCTCCTTGGGTGTGAACCTTGAGTTGAAGTGAGCAGAGTCCACTCCAGATTACCCTGGTCCTTGGCCCTGTGGCCAGGCCACATAGGTGTACACATTGGAAATATATAATCCCGAGGGGTCTGGGCTTCTCCAGAACACATGGCAGCAAATCATAAAGGGGACAAAGGGCACACTGTCAGGGCTGAGTTCAGAATCCCCAAGTGCCAGTGCAATTGTCAACTAATCCTGAAAAACAGACTAGGAAGAATCATTTGTTTAAAGCTGAAACACCTGAGGGCGTGTCCAATCCAAGTCCTGTGGGCAGCCTGTGGCCTGGGGTAGCTATGAATGCCAGTCAACACAAAATCAAAAATTTATTTAAAATGTCATAAGATTGTGTGTGTGTGTGTGTGTGTGTGTGTGTGTGTGTGTGTGTGTGTGTGTGTGTGAGTGATTGCTATTGTGACTCAATTGCAAAGTTCAGGTATGAACTTTGTAGATGACAATGTTGGTCAAAATGTTGAAATGTTGAACACACCTGGTAGAGTGAAGAACTAAATTAGCCATGGTTCTGTTCCCTGCATATCTATGTAGTTTTAAGCAAATTGACCAGCCTCTCTGGGTCTCTAAGACAAGAAACTAATGTCCCTGTCTTCCTGGGGTTGTTGGGAGAATTATGACTTATTGTGCTTAGCACTGTGGCCAGGAATGTCAGCTGGCATCTGACCATTAGCAGGGATGCTGAAGTTGTGCTGAACTTGAATATCTACTCTAAGGATCTGTCTCCCACTCCTGATGCCTGCTAGGGCAGGATGAAAGGTACATTTGGAATGTTTTGACCTTGGTGCTTCTCATACAGATGGGGAGAAAGAGCAAGCATGGGCACAGAGATCCTAATGTGTATTGTTTCTCAGTGCAAAATGTGGTTCTGTGCAGAGATCCATTTCCAAGCCTGTTCGTTAAGTCTGTATGACCTGTTTTTATCCCCCATACAATGATGGCTACACACTTTAAAAAAAAAAGATTTATTTATTTATTATGTACATAGTATTCTGTTTGCATGTATGCCTGCACACCAGAAGAAATAATCAGATCTCATTATAGATGGTTGTGAGCCACCATGTGGTTGCTGGGAATTGAACTCTGGACCTCTGGAAGAACAAACAGTGCTCTTAACCTCTGAGCCATCTCTTTAGCCCCAGCTTTACTTTTTACATTTCTATTAACAACCCTTCTTTGCCTTTCCCAGGATCCAGCAACTCTCTCACTCCCACCTGACTCAGATAGAAAAGAGTCTGTCTGTTGGATCACTAATATTTTAGTTCCAACTAATGCAACATGTACAACTGAATGGGAGGGTTTTCATTCTGAAACTCAGAAGGACAGAGAAAAGACAAGGACTCTTCTAATGACTGGACCTCTGAATACCATAGACAGATATCTGGATTTCAGTGGGGGAGTTGACAAAAGCTCTCCAAACTTCCATCTGGAGAAATCATACACCAGAAAAGAGTACAGTTCTATTTATAACCAACTCAATATCCCCAGCATAAAAAAAAAATGTTTATCAACAGAATAAGGATACAAGGGCTTGGTGTCCTTGGATAAGGTCACAGGGCCCTTATCCAGGCCACATCCTGGTCGATGTTTTTTTATCAATAACTTCAACGAAAACACAGATACCAGGCTGGCTGAACAAGCTCTCTGATAGTTGATTTGTAGCAGATGCACTTTGATGACAAAGACCATCCCATGTTCTTATTTGGGTGAATAATACTACATGGCAGGCCAAACTGTTCAATGGCTGAGTTCCCGCTCAGTCCAAGGAATGTGCCAAGCAGGCAGCACACATTGCTGCCATCCCTACAAAGATGCAGTGCCCTCTCTATCATGACTAAAGGAACCGGTGCTCAGCGTGTTTAGGAAGGTTGAAAGGACTCCAGAGCCAAGACGGATAGGAGAACCAACATCAGATGTGCTTGGTGGACATGCCTGTAAGCCCAGCACTTGGGAGGCTGAGGCAGGAGGATTTGAAAGTTCAAGTCCACCCAGGGATTCATAGCACCATCCCATTCCAAACAAAAGAAAACAAAACCTTAACTCCAGGGTCTATGGTCTTTCACAACCTCACCACACTGCATAAATTCTGTATTTCCCTTTAATATTCAAGTCCTCTGGCTGTATGATGGAGAGAAAGCGTGTCTAGCACCATTTCTGGCACTTACATGCAGAAATATTTGTGGAAAGAAAAAAATAGGAGTGGGAGGGAGGAAGGAAGACGGGAAGGGAGCGTATCGGCTTTAATGTGTGCTGGTAATCATGACCAGTGGAGAACATCTGAAGATATTCCATTTGGCAAATGCAGACACCCCGGTCCTCTCCAAACATTTCAAGGGCTGTGTGTAATAAGCATCAAACAGATTTAAATTCAGTGGGAGCTGGGACTTTCAAAAGAATGAGCACTGTTTGTGCATGCAGGAGGCTGCCTCCCGGGCCCACATCGTGTTCCTGGGAGTCTTTAGCTCACTGAAGGCAACAGAGAGGAGGCTGAGAAGCAGGAGAGACAGAAGAGATGAGCCTCTCCTTTGGAAAAGTATCCTAATACCGTTGCAGATGCTTTGGGCTGCGTTTGACGTTGAACTGGGATGCTGGAGAGAAGGAAGGAGCTCTGTTTCTTAAAGAGCAGTCCTTTTCTACTTCTGCATGTGTCAAAGCCAAGGATCCAATGGCTATGCCCTTCATTATTCCAAATGCCAGCAAAACAGTGACCATTTCATGCTGTGAAGAAACAAGCTAAATATCCCTCACGAAGCCTTCTTTTTTGGGGGGTGGGGGGATTGTGGAGAGAAAACCCTCGAAAGTACAGCAGGCACTTCTAAAGGACAGAGCGGACTTTGTCTGATGTTGCAAGCCTGAGCCAGAAGAGCAATGAGAGAATGGAAAAAGGGTCCCAACGTGCCTTGTTTATCACCCACACCATCTTGAGTTGTTCACAGACATATACACAGACTTTCTTCCTGGGATGCTTGTGGTGAGGAGCTCAGGCCGTATACAGTGCCGTGGGCTTTCCTTTATTATTATTATTTTTTTTTTCTTTTCTCTATCTCCAAGGCGATAAACCGGGAAAAGCTTTAGACATCCTCCCAGGACCTGGAACCCTAACAATGAACGCACACCATGAGTGCAGGCCGCTCGATGATTTCCTAACAGTCTCTTTATGCTGGTTCCAGCCCAGAGTCCCTTGCCAGATGCCGAAAGCTTCCTCATGGCTGCACAAATAGTTTCCATTTCCCAGCCCGGAGCCAGCATCCAAAAGATCCTCTCATCTGAAACTGAATGAAACAAAAGATGGCCCAGAACCCAACTGTAGCCAGGAAACAGAGGATTCCATGCCAGAGAACTCTGCCTTGTCCCAGAAATCCCCAGGGCCAGAGGGAGGGTACACTGGCTACTCTCAGCCAGGGCCCATCTCAAAGGATGACCTCCCAGCTGTTAACCTATCGTAAACGCCTCCAAGGGTTTGAGATTTCGTGCAGCTACAGCAGTGTGTCCTGGCCTTCCTGACTTCTCACTCATCCTTACCGGACTTCATTAACTCATCCCTCCAGGCATTTATTTTTTCATTGCCTTT